GATAGATAGATAGATAGATAGATAGATAGATAGATAGATAGATAGATCGATCGATCAGCCGCTTGGCAATTGGACTCATACTTACGACTGTTGCAGGAAGGAAGGAAGGAAGATGATAGATAGATAGATAGATAGATAGATAGATGATAGATAGATAGATAGATGAAAGAAAAATAGATAGAAAAATAGATAGGTATAGAAACTCATCAAGGATAGAAGCAACCTAGAACTAAGAAGAAACTGCCTAACAGTGAGGAAAATTAACCAGTGGAACTACTTGCCACCAGAAGTTGTGGGTCCTCCATCCCTGGAGGTTTTTAACAAGAGAGTGGACAAACATTTGTCTGGAATGGTATAGGGTCTCCTGCCTGAGCGGGGGGGGTGGACTAGATGACCTCCAAGGTCCCTTCCAGCTCTATTCCGATGGATGGATTGGCGGATGAATTGATTGATCGATTGAAAATGATTTAGGGACTTCTTCCGGAGCAGAGGGGGTGGGGGTTGGACTAGAAGACCTCCAAGGAACCCTTCCGGCGGGGGCGGGTGGAAGGCGTCTTCCCTTCGATTCCCCAGCTTCTCCAGCAAAACTAACCCAATGAAAAATGGGCAGCGATGGCGAAGTCTTCAAAGGGATCCCTCTGCTTTTCACACGCATCCCTCGGTCTCCTTCTTGGGTTGCTGTTGGCCGCCCGGCTTTCCGATTGGGATCAATTATTCATGCTCAGCCGCTAAGTCGGTGGGTGGATGAATAATTGAGGAGGCCAAAGTACCCGGCACGCCCGAAAAACTGTCCGATCTCATCTTTTGACGGTCCAGATCTCCGGCCTCGCCTTGGGTGGCCAGGAAAATCTGTCCCAATTCTTCCCCTGCCTTTCCACACACACACACACACACACACCCGGCCTCCCCGATGCTCTGGCTTCCTTGACCCCACAGCTGGTGGAGGGAGGGAGCGTCCAGTGGCTGGGACACGAGGCAGTGTCCGGATGACCAGGAAAGGGCCGGGCACATATGAGAGTGACGGGCTTATTCTGCACCTCTGATCATGTTCCCTGGTTGGGCATTGAAACGTCTGCAAGAAAACAGCCAAACTCAGAGAGCACCAAAGACCCCCCACAAATCTCCTCCTTCCTCTCTCTGCAAACCCCTCTCTGTCTAGCACTGGTGGTGTTGCTTAGTTGGGTCATGAAATGTCTGCAAGGAAACCACCAAGATTAGAGAGCACCAAGGACCCCACAGTCTTCTTCCTCCTCTTCTTCCTCCTCTTCTTCTCCACAAACCCTACTCCCATCTAGCACTGATGATGTTACCTAGCTGGGTCATGAAACGTCTGCAAGAAAACCACCAGTCGTCCTTCTTCTTCTTCTTCTTCTTCTTCTTCTTCTTCTTCTTCTTCTTCTTCTCCTCCTCCTCCTCCTCCTCCTCCTCCTCCTTTTTCTTCTTCTCCTTCTTCTCCCTTCTTCTCCTCCTCTCTACTCCTCCTCCTCCTTTCTTCTTCTTCTTCTTCTTCTTCTTCTTCTTCTTCTTCTTCT